ATTTAAAGTTTAACCATATTGAGTGTTAAAGTGTTTGAACACAATATTAAGTGCTTAATAATTTGAACACATGTAGTCAGTGTTTAACTATTAATTTTGAACACCATAGCATTAGTGTGAAACTATTTGAACACTATATCCAGTTTTCCACTATTTGAACACCATAATAAGTGTTTATCTGTTTGAACACCTATTCAAGCATTTAACTACTTGAACACACCATTTCAATGTGTTTAAGTATTTGGACATTCAATCAAGCATTAAACTTTTTGAAAACCATATTGAGCAATAACTATTTGAACACCATTTTAAGCATTTAACTGTATTTGAACACCATTTTAAGCATTTAACTATTTGAACACCATATCAAGTGTTTAACTATCTGGACATTCTAACAAGCATTTAACTATTTGAAAACATGATATTGATCAGTGTTTAACTTAATTGGAATACTCTAAGGGGTTTAAACAGCAATATGGTCTAGCTATTTCAGTAAATGGTAAGAAATTAAAGTGATAATTATATAATTAAGCTGAAATCTTCAAAGATACAAAATTGAAATATTTCATAAAAAAACGATACCTTATATATCTAATTCCAAGAATATTTAATATCATTACAAATATCAAAAACAATTTTTGTCTCCAAAATATTTAATTATCACATCAAAGTATTAAGCAAATTTCCATCAACTTTTGATTGGAATAAATATCTCTAGCAAAATTGAATCAGCAGAGTTTTAGGAGACCCTTGCAATAATGTTCAAAGCCCTTATAAAAGTCACTTAAATACTACTGAAATTTGATTGTATACCTTTAAAGGCTTTCAAATTGCTCACATTCAAAGAGACCTCAAAGAGAAAACAAAGCTGACATAACCAAAACGCTGTTGGAGAAATTTTTTTTGAGATCAGTGTATCAGAGATACTAATGTTACTTAAACATCATTTCCTTGAGAAGCTTTCTTTATAATTCAGTTTAAAAACTGACCCATATTTTCTTTATGTTCAATTTATCTAAATTATTGTCATTCTTTGAAGAAAAAAAAGATCCTTTTAGTTGCTAATGGAAACTAGAGTACAGTAACTATGGTTCTAGAAAATCTTAAAGAGGTATAGGTTGGTTGAGTTCTTAATTCTGAGTCACACCCACCCTTTAAAGCTAATTATTATGTCAACTTCCCAACTTTTCTGGTGGAGGAAAATCTAAGGTGTCCCCCTGTTCAGGTTCAAGAAGGCACTTAGGTTGTGCCATTGACCTTCTGTAAGTTAGCTGGATTAGCTTCCACACATTACAAGAATCCAGTGAAAGTCCCACACAGGATTCAACCCACAATGATGAGGGGTCAGTGGGGGGTTAGTAGTTCAAAGTCAGTGACCTTTTAAACCATTCAGCCAAAGAGCCCCATGGGAAAGGTACAGGAAATCTGTGTTTCACAAAGTTCAATAGATATTAAATACATGATAGTAAATGAAGAGACATTGGGGAATTTTCACATACACTGGTAAATAATTCAGTACAAATTCATGCTTAAGTTATGGATCTTGGTCAATGACTTCTTATCACATGTGAGGTTTCAAAAAAAGGGGTCCATACTATCAACGCATGAAAGAGCGGATGGACCCTTACTAAGTTTACAACACACACAGTTTCAAAATAATACCTTCAGTGACTTATGATGGAGAAAGAACAATTATGGTTTTCATGGGCCATTTAACTCTAATGGTAATTAATGCAGGCTGCACATATTGTTATGTGACTAAATAATTCTGTCTATTGGCAATTAATGCATTTGTGAAGAAGCAAATAATAAAACCAATCTAATTACAGTGGTGATTACCATAATGTCTTGAATACAAACTAATGTAAGCTAATCTTTACAGTAAAGTAGCAGCATCTATTTCAAGCCTCCAAGGACCTTGACTGTGACCTCATGAGGAGAATTACTATGTGTGTCAGATGGAAAGATAAAAGGAACGATTGTAGGAAATATTAATAACAAATAAAAGGAAGGACTAAAGGAAGAATTAAAGAAGGATAAAAGGAAGGACTGAAGGAAGGACTAAAGAAAAAGGAAGGACTGGAGGAAGGAGTAAAGAAAATTAAAAGCAAGGACTGGAGGAAGAACTAAACGATAAAATGAAGGACTGAATGAAAGATTAAAGAATGGCTAAAAGGAAGAACTGAAAGAAAGATTAAAGGAGGATAAAATGAAGGACTGAAGAAAAGATTAAAGAAGGATAAAAGGATTCTGAGGACTGACAAAAAGATTAAAGGAGGATAAAATGAAGGACTGAAGAAAAGATTAAAGAAGGATAAAAGGAAGGACTGAAGACAAGATTAAAGGAGTTAAAATGAAGGACTGAAGAAAAGATTAAAGGAGGATAAAAGGAAGGAATGAAGGAAAGATAAGAAGAAGGATTTTTATGGTATTAGTAACATTATAAGTGGCTTATATACTCTCATAACTAAGACACATATTTTCAAAGCTAACTACTCTAGTTCTACATCATACTGCTTTAAAATCGTTTACGATCACTCTAAGCAGGTATACATTGTATACATTTTTAAGAGACAGCTATGAGATACAAGGGAATCCGGGAACCAGCCCCTAGCTCTTATTGAATAGACCCCTTGGTTCTTTTACATGCCCAGTGTATAGCACTGATACATGCGAGGATTACCTGGATTTCTTACCAGTACACCTCTAGTTAGGTGGGAAACACTGCAAGTGTCTCTGAAAAATCCCAAGGTTATAACCCAGGGTCGAACCCGGGACCTCAGGAGTGATAATCAGTGGTCTAACCAACTGAGCCATCGCGCCACCTATGAAATAACATATATAATCAACAACATATATTGTATATTATATGATATCTACACTCAATGAACCCAGTTGTTACCTGATTTTCACTGTATATAAGAATGTCATGCCTAATCTAAATATTGTATGTTTATCTACCAGATATTTACATGCTTTTGGAACCTGGCCATCAACTTAATCTTGACACGTTAAACTTATTTATGTTAAAGATAAAACAATTCCCACTGTAATTTTAATCAAGCATAGCAGTTTCAAAACATTTTATGTAGAAAATACAAAATATTTTAACAGACTGGCTCCATTCTCAGTAATATGTTGTTACAAATTAGTTCGACCTACTTTTAAATCAACTCTTTATAAATTGTTGCAATGGTTTTATTCTATGTTATAATTTCTTACAATGGTTCTATACATTTGTCTTATTTGGAAGTAGCATTTGTTCTTCTCGACATTGTTATAAAAAAAAAGACTGGTTCAACCAGTAGAGTTATAAATAGTTACATTGGATCTACTTGGAGTTATAATTATGAAAAACGTTGGTTCCACTTGGTGTTATAATTGTAACATTGGTTCTACCTGGCGTTATAAACAGTAATATTGGTTTCATTAGAAGTTATAAATAGTAACATGCGTTCTACTTGGTGTTATAAAAAGTAACACTGGTTCTATCTAGAGTTATAAATAGAAACATTGGTTCTACTTGATGCTATAAATAGTAACATTGGTTTTACTTGGATTAATAAATAGTAACATTGGTTCCGCTTGAAGTTATAAATAGTAACATTGGTTCTACTTGGAGTTATAAATAGTAACATTGTTTTGAGATGTAATCTTGATTGCTGCAACAGTAAAGGCTGAGGCTTTGTCAACAGTATTTGTCAGTTTAGACTGCAGAACCCAGATGTCGGACTCTATACTGCTATAGGGTGGCAAGTTCAAAATTCTGACAGTTTAAGCTGTAGAATAATCCGTAGAATGAAGAATTTTCAATAATATACAAAAGCCATTTATTGGTCGGTTAAACACACAAAAAGTAAATGAAGAATATACAATCAACATGCAGACTTTAATTTAAATTTTAGTACAAATACTGACAACAATCTGAATATATTTTCATGTAAAATGCTGCAATATTATGCCATAAAACATGATTACAAGCTATTAAATCATTTTGTTTAATCTTACAAATTAAGAGATTAATATAGTCTTAAGTGCTAAATCTACTTGTAAGGAGCGAATTTTTACCACAATTCATACACTTTATACCCATATTGATCACTGAATTGTTTTTATTTGAATATACTGAGAAAAAAAGAAAGTACTTTTATAAATTGACTATAATGTGCACTTTAAATATGCTTTAAACAAAGTAGTTTATTTCTGTTGTTGCCATATTAACTCCATGCACACCCAATATACTTACATTTTAAATGCCATTGAAACACAACATGAGGAATTTAATTCTATGAACTTTTGAAGCACTTAAATTAATGTAAGGAAGCTTGCAAACAAAGAAAACTTAAGTTGTCAATTAATGTACAGACAAAGAGTCCCAGTTAGACAGTGTCACGGCAAGATAGTGTCATGGCAAGACAGTGTCATGGCAAGACAGTGTCACGGCAAGATAGTGTCATGGCAAGACAGTGTCACGGCAAGACAGTGTCACGGCAAGACAGTGTCACGGCAAGACAGTGTCATGGCAAGACAGTGTCACGGCAAGACAGTGTCATGGCAAGACAGTGTCACGGCAAGATAGTGTCATGGCAAGACAGTGTCATGGCAAGATAGTATCACGGCAAAACAGTGTCACGGCAAGACAGTGTCATGGCAAGATAGTGTCATGGCAAGACAGTGTCACGGCAAGATAGTGTCATGGCAAGACAGTGTCACGGCAAGATAGTGTCATGGTTGAAGACAGTGTCATGGCAAGATAGTATCACAGCAAAACAGTGTCATGGCAAGACAGCGTCGGGGCAAGACAGTGTCACGGCAAGACAGTATCGGGGCAAGACAGTGTCATGGCAAGACAACTCACGGCACAAGACAGTGTCATGGCACGACAGTGTCACAGCAAGACAATGTGACGGCAAGACAATGCCACGGCAAGACAACGTTATACCATTGAATTAAATATACAAACATCATAGTAAAAAATTAGATAAATGAATATAATTTACCTGAGGCTGGTCATCTTAAGGGTCTGCTCACACAGGTACTGAAATATACAATAAAAACATCATTTGAATAAACCAGTTAAACCAATGATATAATATATATAATTCTTAATAAAAATACTTCCTTATTGTTCCTAAAAATTTGTCCAATTTGTTACATTTCTTAAAATGTACTTGAACAGTTCTTGAACATTTTAAGAGTAGTTCAGGTGCAATTTTTGAACAAAGTTCATGAGCAGTGCAAGAACATTTTTGGAACTGCTCTTGCCATTTTCACAGGGGCATTGATCAATTGTATATATACTGTACATATATTTCAAACAGTCAAAATACAATAAAAGACTTATAAAACTAAAATCATACAGGTGCTATTTGTTTAATATATATACTGTGCTCCTCTTAGTTCACGGTACTTAACACTTTAAAACAGTAAAGAACACAAACAATAAACTTACACTACAAAAACTGTCATAAACTGTATCATTTAGTCATTTTTCTGCTATATGACACAAGGAAACAACAATATATTCAATCAAAATTAGTTTTAATTTGTCAGATGTAAACCGTGTGTCGGCCATTTTGAAAACAGTATGTCATCATTTACCTCGCGGTAATGGTGTTTTATTTCAGTTTTTTCATGTTTCAGTTAAAATTTCTTTAAGTTATTTTGCATAATTTTAAATATTAAAAGTATTTTTACATTGTAACTCAAAATTTATTTTTTCAACAAACAAGAACATTTAGAAAATGATGATTGTTTCAGACGTATGCACAAATTTAATGGACTATTGTTGTTTTTTGCAGAAATTTGTAAAATGTTGTTCTGTTTTACGTAAAAATCTATAGATTTAAATTATTTTGCACAAAAACTTTGTTGTTAAGGTGTTTGAATAAAATATGTCAATTCTGATCAATTATAACAATGGTCACATGAAAATATGCCATTACCGTGAGATAAGTGATGACGCGGAATTAGTGATGTTGAGTATAAGTTAATTTCTACTGTTCATGATTAAGTACAAGTGTTTCTTAATATCGTTAAACATAAAAAGATGCATTATCAATGTATCCCATATGTCTGATTTTCAATTTTATGAGTAATACTCTGGAATTTATAATATTTTGGTTTTCCCTGCTTAAATTTTGGGGTACAAACAAACTTTTACAAGGCAACACAACAGGCTCTGAACTAGTTTGTTTGACTACCAAGGGATTTAAGATCGGAAAAACTCGCATTAAAATTTTGTCACATTGCTGATAAGTATATGTCAGGACTATTCCATATTAAAACAGTTTTCAACATCTCAAGACATTATTCAGAAAAAAATCTTATTCCAAAGTCTGATATCTACCTGAACTGTATTGTCAGACATGGTTCAGATAAAATTCAGACTGTATTCAGTTTATATTCAGATAAAATTCAGACTGTATTCAGTTTATATTCAGATAAAATTCATACTGTATTCAGTTTATATTCAGATAAAATTCAGACTGTATTCAGTTTATATTCAGATAAAATTCATACTGTATTCAGTTTATATTCAGATAAAATTCATACTGTATTCAGTTTATATTCAGATAAAATTCATACTGTATTCAGTTTATATTCAGATAAAATTCATACTGTATTCAGTTTATATTCAGATAAAATTCAGACTGTATTCAGTTTATATTCAGATAAAATTCAGACTGTATTCAGTTTATATTCAGATAAAATTCATACTGTATTCAGTTTATATTCAGATAAAATTCATACTGTATTCAGTTTATATTCAGATAAAATTCAGACTGTATTCAGTTTATATTCAGATAAAATTCATACTGTATTCAGTTTATATTCAGATAAAATTCAGACTGTATTCAGTTTATATTCAGATAAAATTCAGACTGTATTCAGTTTATATTCAGATAAAATTCAGACCTGATCACTTTCTCAGATTTTCATTGTCAGTATCTTATACAAAATTTTCAAACATTAATCATGAAGTTTTTTTCAAATCATACTTTACATACATCTATGAAAACAATCTCAAAGAATATCAAAGAACAAACATATTACAGTTGATCATGTCACACACACAAAATTACATAACTTCAAAAATTCTACACACTATATTTTGTGTACACAAACACACAATAATACGTTATCAGTTACTAATTGATAACTTGATATCCTGTGTTTATGGACACAAGTAATTTACTGCTAAAAGACAACACCATGCACACTATCAAGTAATAATTATGTCATTATCACCTACCATAGATATATCACTTATAAAACACGCCTTTTTATTTATTTCCAATAATGCATTATTTCAAAACACAATAACCGTCAAACCCAACTCAAACACTTCATAAAAATCAGAACTTCGATCAGACTTAATTCAGTTTAAAGGAAATGTACATTACACCATTTCGTTCATCCGTAGTTTTTTGCCTATTAACAGAAAATAGTGTTATAATGTTGCGCTGTCCACCAGACTGTATTCTAGATCAATATTTCAAGGTTTCATTAAGGCAGGAATGCAGTCTTATCAGGCCGTTGAAATTAATATTGATCTGCAGTTAGACACTGATCAGTCACTATGAGGTACCAATATAAACACTACCACCATAATACTGCATTGATAAACAGATAAACAATGTCACCGGAAAAATCACAGTCGTTTAAAATAAGAAAAGAAAAAAAAATTATTAAAGGCCTATCAAGACAATTTTTTTAATAACCTGTCAGACTAGACGACAAGTGGTATTACATGATATAAATAGTATAAGGCAAAAGGAATAAACAATGTCACGGGAATATCACAGTCCCTTAAAAAAATAAGAAAATGAAATTATTAAAGACCTATCATAACAAATGTCATATATTTTCCTTATATGTGAGTAAGGCATTATGCTATCAATAATAATATTTCTGTTATTTTCTTAGTATCTCTAATTCAGCCAAATGTCCATAGTCCACTTTGTATTTCTGTATACATTCTACATGACCTGAACTTCCCTTTCACTTGTAACATACCTCAACTGCTGTTGATTCATTGGCAATTTTAGAACGCATACATCAATTTCTCTTAAATTATTACAATTAACATAATTACGATTAACATAATTATGCTGCCCCAATTTCTATGCTAATGTTACATAACTTACTAAGAAAGTCAAGGTCTTGATAATAGTCTGTGGTGTTAGAAATAATTTTCAGTTACATTTAAAAATGCAATACTAATCCACTCAAAAAATTAACCTTATCAATGTTATTATCAAATATCACATGATTTTTTTTTCCTCCAATCAGACCCTACCATTAAACATACTGTACATTATCCAATTTATTACACTTCATTACAAAGCTCTATATATTTATATAGAGCTCAAATGAGCATATTTTTCTCTGTCTCATTACCTGTCTCATCTAGTGAAACTTTCTTATTGATGTAAGCGCGATACCAGTCTCTGAAGATTTGAAATTTTCTGAGACACAGTCAATGAAACTATTTATAGTCTAGTCTGGTTTAGTTGTTGTTGTTCTATTTTTTGCCCTAATTAATTAAATCATCTTTTATCTAGATGGTATTCATGTTATTGTCTCTTCTATTTAATCAATATTTGTCATTTATCAAGTATTCTGACATTATAAGGATGTTTTCGGTTATTAATTTTTATTATCTTCAACACACTAATTAACTTAAATGGACTTGTCTAATGATCTTGTCTGATTAGCTGCACGGGTTCAAACCCCGTTAGTTACAAGTCATTGTTTCTATGAGCAAGAAACTTTATACTCATTGCTCGGCATCGAATGGTTCCAGGAACGGATTGGAAAGTGTGTCTATAAGCTTCATACACAATCAAACTAAAATAAATTTTGTATAAACCAAATGGACTTGCATGTCCATCATTCAATATTTAAAGTTCAAAATTTCAAAATCAGTCCTGTCACTCACAGACCAGTGAACTGTGCAGACCATGAACAGACAACAAGGGTCATGTGCCAACTGACAATGGTATTCACTGGTCGCAAGGGTCACTAACAATCAGCAGGCAAAAAGGGGTAAAAATCTAATCTGTACTATTATATATATATAGCATTCATAGATGTCAGCAAAAAAAAAATGATATGTGTCTTTCACTAACAAGGAAGCACTTTTAAGGTACAATGTAGTCTCAGCACAACTGTGCTACTGTTGTCTGTGGTTTCCATCAAGGTGTTACAATATTATATATAATTATATATCAGTCAAAACCAATACTGAAAATCATTACAATAAGATTTCTACATTCAGGGAAACTGATTTCTTAAGCTATGTGGTGTAATATATTACTTTGTCTTTGTGTTTATCAGCCTGATATGGATCGAGCGTGGGATTCCACGTCTCCCACAGTATATTATATATAAATTATGATATTTCTCTTCTATATTTAACATATTGGCATTATAATCTTTCGATAGGAACTAGATATATTTGTAAGAAATAAGCTTGACTTTAGACCCTTTTAAGTTCCTGGAAATATGTTTCATTATATTTAAGAGCTTAAATGACTTCAATAATAAAACAATCTCTGACATTTTTGTCAAAGACTCTTGGCTAGCAGATTAGCATTTAGCTTGAAAATCAAGAAATTCAAGCTCAAATCCATAACAGTGCAAGAAAATTTATGTTTCTAATAATTTGGTGTATACAATCCATAACAGGGCAGGAATTGTTTCTAATAATTTGGTCTATACAATCCATAACAGGGCAGGAATTGTTTCTAATAATTTCTAATACTGTGTCGATGTGAAGTAAAACCCAAAACAAACAAATAAAAAACTTGTAATAGGGATGGTAAGCGAACAGCATGGATCCTGATCAGATTACGCGGATGCGCAGGCTGGTCTGGATCCATGCTGGTCGCAAACGCACTATGTTGGTTTTGTCGTGACGCGGCTCATTTATGGTTGTGCCCAGATTGGTTGTGCCCCAGATTGGTTGTGCCCAGATTGAAAGAGGGACTTGTCTATTCAAGATATTTTACTTGTAAAGGTTTATTGCTGCTT